AGTATTAGTAATGCACGGTTAAAGTTTATTGAAAAAGAAAAGACAATTATCGGTAGTAGGGGGATGGGGGGTGTCTTTAACATTTGGTTTGGGTATTTTTTTTTGAAGATGGATTCCCTGTAGACTTGGCACCCATGGTGGGTGATGGGATTGTAAGTCCACCTTGAGTGTTCCCCATTACTACTGCAACTTCAAGTCCAAAGAGTATGATTTCAAAGGATGATGATCCATCGCATTTTGGGGGCCAGTCTGTGCCCTTCATCCTTAGGATGATAGTTTGAAGGGCATCCTAAGCCCTGAGGTATGAAGACCGGCGTAAGCCCTGATGATAGTTTGAAGGTCATCCTAAGCTCTGATGATATAGTTTGAAGGCCGGCGAAGCCCTGATGAAAGGCTGAAGCCCATTGTAAACCCTGATTATAGCTTGAAGACCATCCTAAACCCTAATGATAGGTTGAAGGCCTTTCTAAGCCCTGATGATAGTTTGAAGCACATTGGAAGCCCTGATGATATTTTGCACAGCATCCTAAACCCTGATGATAGGTGAAGGCCATCCTGAGCCCTGACGATAGGTTGAAGGCCATCTTGAGCCCTGATGATAGGTTGAACACCATCCTAAGCCATGATGATAAGTTGAAGGCCATCCTAAGCCCTGATAGGTTGAACTCCATCCTAAGCCATGACGGTAGGTTGAACTCCATCCTAAGCCCTGACGATAGGTTGAAGGCCATCCTAAGCCCTGACGGTAGGTTGAAGGCCATCCTGAGACCTGACGATAGGTTGAAGGCCATCCTGAGCCCTGACGATAGGTTGAAGGCCATCCTAAGCCCTGACGATAGGTTGAAGGCCATCCTAAGCCCTGACGATAGGTTGAACGCCATCCTAAGCCCTGACGATAGGTTGAACTCCATCCTAAACCCTGACGATAGGTTGAACTCCATCCTAAGCCCTGACGATAGGATTTGAACTCCATCCTAAGCCCTGACGATAGGTTGAAGGCCATCCTAAGCCCTGACGATAGGTTGAAGGCCATCCTAAGCCCTGACGGTAGGTTGAAGGCCATCCTAAGCCCTGACGGTAGGTTGAAGGCCATCCTAAGCCCTGACGGTAGGGTGAAGGCCATCCTAAGCCCTGACGGTAGGTTGAAGGCCATCCTAAGCCCTGACGATAGTGGTTGAAGGCCATCGTAAGGCCTGACGATAGGTTGAAGGCCATCCTAAGCCCTGACGATAGGTTGAAGGCCATCCTAAGCCCTGATGATAGGTTGAAGGCCATCCTAAGCCCTGACGATAGGTTGAAGGCCATCCTAAGGCCTGACGATAGGTTGAAGGCCACCCTAAGCCCTGACGATAGGTTGAAGGCCATCCTAAGCCCTGACGATAGGTTGAAGGCCATCCTAAGCCCTGATGATAGGTTGAAGGCCATCCCAAGCTGTAATGAAGAGGACACAGCCTGACCCCTGGAACTTTCTGTGGAATTAAACACTTTGGTCTGTAGATTTTGGAGTGTTGCCTTCATTCCTGATCTGGTCCCAGGTTTTAATACCTGCATATGGAGGCCGGATTTCGACTGGAGTTGGGTTTTAATTAGCAAAAACTGGACATTGTGTTTGCAGAGACGTTTGGTGTATAATTATTGACTGGTTACATAGTAATTATTTTTTTATGTAAATAGTATTTTACAATTTAGATTTTTTTTTCTTGCTGTCCTCGCCGTGTTGTGTCATCTCAGCCGGTCGCCTGCGTTTCCAGGTAGTTAATATTCAGAACGCAGCCGACCACCATAACAGCATGTTTGCACATTTGCTGTAATAATCCTTTAATGTGAATATGTAGTTGAGTTAATTAAGAGCTTTGAAAAGAAAGTGCCCAGAGCTGGAAGCAGCCCCTTGCCTGTAATTACCTGGTGCGCGACAGGAAGCGTCCCCGCCAGCGGAATGTTCTGGGGTGGGGGAGGCTGTTTTCTTTACAAAACGCTGTGACATCACACGGATGGCTTGTCCAGGGCTTGCCGCGAACGCGGCTCCGACGGAATGAGAATACGATACGCTCTCCATCTCCCATTTCATTACCAATGTAGGGAACCTATCGGGGGGCCACACCCGTGTGACAAGCGTCTGATGGAGGCTGCAGTTTGTGGGCGGCATGCTGGTTCTGAAGGCTGTATCCAATCAGGTTCTCTGGAGCAAAAGGAAAGGTTTTATGATGAAAATCCGGAGAATTTGTTGCCATTTTAAGAAAATACATTCCAATGATGAGGAAGAGAAAATGAAGTTGTGTCTAGAAATCCATGTTCATGTCGGGATCTGCTGCCCCCCACTATCTGTACATTGCCGGGCTGCCCCCCACTATCTGTACATTGCCAGGCTGCCCCCCACTATCTGTGCATTGACAGGCTGCCCCCCACTATCTGTACATTGCCAGGCTGCCCCCCACTATCTGTACATTGCCGGGCTGCCCCCCACTATCTGTACATTGCCAGGCTGCCCCCCACTATCTGTACATTGCCGGGCTGCCCCCCACTATCTGTACATTGCCGGGCTGCCCCCCACTAACTGTACATTGCCAGGCTGCCCCCCACTGTCTGTACATCGCTGGGCTGCCCCCCACTATCTGTACATTGCCAGGCTGCCCCCCACTATCTGTACATTGCCAGGCTGCCCCCCACTATCTGTACATTGCCAGGCTGCCCCCCACTATCTGTACATTGCCAGGCTGCCCCCCACTATCTGTACATTGCCAGGCTGCCCCCCACTATCTGTACATTGCCCGGGCTGCCCCCCACTATCTGTACATTGCCAGGCTGCCCCCCACTATCTGTACATTGCCAGGCTGCCCCCACTATCTGTACATTGCCAGGCTGCCCCCCACTATCTGTACATTGCCAGGCTGCCCCCCACTATCTGTACATTGCCAGGCTGCCCCCCACTATCTGTACATTGCCGGGCTGCCCCCCGCTATCTGTACATTGCCGGGCTGCCCCCCGCTATCTGTACATTGCCAGGCTGCCCCCCACTATCTGTACATTGCCAGGCTGCCCCCCACTATCTGTACATTGCCGGGCTGCCCCCCCGCTATCTGTACATTGCCAGGCTGCCCCCCACTATCTGTACATTGCCAGGGCTGCCCCCCACTATCTGTACATTGCCGGCTGCCCCCCGCTATCTATACATTGCCGGGCTGCCCCCCGCTATCTGTACATTGCCCGGGCTGCCCCCCGCTATCTGTACATTGCCAGGCTGCCCCCCACTATCTGTACATTGCCGGGCTGCCCCCCACTATCTGTACATTGCCGGGCTGCCCCCCCGCTATCTGTACATTGCCAGGCTGCCCCCCACTATCTGTACATTGCCGGGCTGCCCCCCACTATCTGTACATTGCCGGGCTGCCCCCCGCTATCTGTACATTGCCAGGCTGCCCCCCACTATCTGTACATTGCCGGGCTGCCCCCCACTATCTGTACATTGCCGGGCTGCCTATCACGGAGAAATTATATCTAGCACTTCCGGTCTCCGAGATGTTGGGCTGAGAGAAAGAGAGGGGCCCCGAGACCACATGTCCCTCAGCACAGCACAGGGGGGAGCACAGGAGGGGGAGCACAGGGGGAGAGCGGGAGGAGCACATGAGGAGACATCGCACGGAGGAGAGCACAGGGGGGAAGCACGGGAGGAGAGTACGGGAGGAGCACAGGGGGGAAGCACGGGGGAGAGCACGGGAGGAGAGCACAGGAAGGTGCCAGATCTCTACATTTCTGGCAGGATCAACAGGTATTATTTTCTGAGCTTATCAATCATATATAACAACAAAACACTTTCAATGGGATATTGAAGAGACCAAAAGAGAACAATCAAGAGAAGCCATTGTTGGGGCGGACATCCCCTTTAAGCCGAGTGTTTTTCAGGCTAATAACGACCCCGGCGTTCCTCTGCAGCGAATAATGACTCGGCCTTTTCCCGAACACAATGACATTGCAGATGAAAGGCTGCCCCCCCCTATCCACTCTCGCCGGGGCCCCACTTGTGGAGATTTACAGGTCTGGATTATGGATCTTTATGTTGGGATTGTGTGCAGTAAACCCCGTCTGATAACATATAGGGAGATTATTGTGGGAATGTATCAATACGTCAGCGGGGATCGGGGATTGAACCCTCCGCTCAGCGGGGATCGGGGATTGAACCTCTCGGCTCAGCGGGGATTGAACCTCTCGGCTCAGCGGGGGTCGGGGATTGAACCTCTCGGCTCAGTGGGGGGGCCCCGTTTAGAAGCCTTTCCATAGACCTGACATTTCTCCAACACTCTGGATGTGTAACAGCGCAGTTATGGCCCCCAGCTAATGTGCTGCTAAAGTCGTGCCCCTGACTAATCACCGCCGGACTGCTGGCTGAGAGATACAGAAAAGTCCCTCCTCCGGGAGATCAGAAGTCTCCACCCCCCCAGATCAGAAGTCTCCACCCCCCAGATCACATTGCCCGGTCTCCACCCCCCGTTGGGGGGAGCACAGGGGTAGAGATCAGAAGTCTCCACCCCCCCAGGTCAGAAGTCTCCACCCCCCAGGTCAGAAGTCTCCACCCCCCCCAGGTCAGAAGTCTCCACCCCCCAGATCAGAAGTCTCCACCCCCCCCAGATCAGAAGTCGTCTTCCCCCCCCCCCCCCCCGAATGTCCGGCCTTGGTACAGACACACAAGGGGACACACATGGGGTACAATGGCAATTAAAGGGTCATTCCCCACATCTGTGGCTTCTTACATGGCAGTCAGTGTCGGTGTAGAAATAGTCGATGAGTCTGTTCAGCTCTCATGTGGATGCACTCAGCAGGCTAGATACTGAGCCCTGGGGAGCAGAAAAGAACTGTCAAAAGTCCTGCGTAACAAGGTAATGGAACTTTATAAAGATGGAAAAGGATATAAAAACAATATCCAAAGCCTTGAATAGGCCGGTCAGTGCTGTCCAATCACTTATTAACCTCCCTAGCGGTATTCCCGAGTGTAGCTCAGGGTAGAGTTTCAGTACCAAAAGCGGTAACCCCCCCGAGCTACACTCGGGCTTACCATGCGGCGTTGCTCAGGGAGTCCCTGCAGAGCTTACCTTGTCCTTCACTCCCGCGATGTGTCCCCTGCAGCGTCCCCGGCCATCTCCCTCCGGCGGATGCCGGCATCCGGCTTCTGTGTTCCGGTCCCTGTGACGTCGGGACATATGGGCGCCGCTGGCGGCGGGACATTTGAAAATTTAAAAAAAAATTCATTTTTTTCAAAACTAATTTTACGTAGTAATCAGGAGAAACAGAAGATGAAGTGAGCGCTTATGTGACAATATATACTAAGCAGCAGCTGTACACCAGAAAAGGCACCGTATCAAACCTTCAATAGCATATATATGTAAAGGGAGGGAGGTGCAGCGCTAGTTTCCATGCAGACAAATGATGAATAAACACCGATAATGCACAATAATAAACGGTGACTGATTATTAATAACGCCACTAAATGTGCTGCTAAGGTGAGAAAAGTAAACAGTCCAATAAAGGAGATGCTCTTAAGATCCAGGGTGATCTTCAGAACGTCCAGTAAAAGGACCATCGGGTGATAAAATATCCAAAGACTGCGCACTCACCCCCCCAGATACGCAATCTTTATGCCATTTGTGTAAATATCACTGGACCCCCTGTGTCATCATCCACCTGGTCAGATCTGGTCAGCTATCCCTCATGGCCTGGTATCCGGATGAATGCAGCTTTTCTGTAGATTTGGCCGGCTCCCACCAGAACTCAAATAAATAGACAGGGCCACACAAGTGTAATATCCTGGGGTATCTTTATAGGGGCACAGGATAGCAGGGAAATCCAACACACAAAAAAATGGTCTATGAGCTGCACCCCCCTATGACTACGAGCCTTCGCTCGAGATGTAGAAACGCGTCAGGGAAGGCTACAGCAGGAACCCGCATCACCAGCCTGCGCCACGGGGGCCCCGGCGGCCATCTTTGAAAGTACTCCTGGGTCAGTACCATTTTTTGTGTGTTGGATTTCCTGCTATCCTGTGCCCCTAAAAAGATACCTAAGGATATTACACTATGTGGCACCCTTTCTATTTATTTGAGTTCCGGTCAGAGCCGGGCCAAATCTACATTAAAAGCTGCATTCATAGCGGATACCAGGCCATGAGGGATATGCTGACCAGATCTGACCAGACCAGGATGATGACACAGGGGGTCCAGTGATATTTACACAAATGCGCATAACCCCCCATTGCGTATCTGGTGAGTCCCGCAGTCTTTATATTTTACTCACCCGATGGTCCTTTTACTGGACGTCTGAAGATCTCCTCCGGATCTTGCCGAGCATCGGCTTCTGGTGTTTTACGGTCTCCCTTAGACATTTAGTCGGGCGTTATTAACGCGCAGTCACCGCTTAATTGTGCATTATCGGTGTTTAAAATTTGCAAAAAACCTTTCATTTTTTTCATAAATAATTTTACATAGTAAAACATTCCTGTATCAAACCATTTCACATACATTTTGTCCCGAGTGCTTTGTCCTGTCCCCTGCCTGCATTTTTACTGTTCTTTCTGCCTGGAAACTGAGAAACGTCCATGGCGTCCAAAAAGCGTCCCTTTAGGTCAGACGCGGTTTTTAGACCGGCTAGAGAACAGCGATAGTAAATCAGAACCACTTGCAGAATTGAGTGATAATGTCGTGGGGGAAATTCCTCATCAGACACTGAAAACGATTTTGCGACATTTGCTCCGTGATGTGCAACTTGGCGCTATATTTCACATTTCAGTGTGTTTTCGGTTTGATTATATTATTGAATTAAATTTATTATTATATATTTTTTATGATTTTGGTGTTTCAAATTTTATCCTCCCCGGGATGTTTACTAGACTCTTGTCCGGACAGATTTCAGGGAGTTATTCCTAAAAATTACAGCCGACAATAAAAAAACTACATATTTCAGCACAAAAAATCTGAAATAATCATACCGCTAGGGAGGTTAAGAAGTGGAGAATTCGGGGATCTCGGGATCCCAAGCCAAGGTCAGGAGACCAGGAAAGATTGTCACCACAACTGCCAGAAGAATTGTTCGGGATACAAAGAAAGTTCTTTTCTGCTCCCCAAGAGTGGGCAGTTCCCACATATTCAGGGGTGTAACTTCTTGGAAAGTGGGAGTGTGATCTGGGGTGGGCCATGCAGAAGATGACCGTGCCAAGTGTAGGTTATGGGCAGGGGTGACTAGGGCCATCCTAACTCATGGGGGTCCCTGGGCACTGCTGGGGGGTCCCTGCAATCCCCCAACCCCCCACAGGGGTTAAGGGAGAGTCCCTGCGGTTATTATTGTCCACACAAGCAGAGGCAATAGTAAGATGTTCCACCGCAGGATGGAGATTTGGGCCGGAGGAGACCGGAGCCGTACACATCCCACCCACACAAGGAGCGGCAGCAGTAAGATGCTCCACCTCGGGGTTCTCCCTTAACCCCTGAAATGTGCTGGAAGAGCACTGGGAACTGCAGGGGGGGGGGGGGGGGGGGGGGGGGGGTCTTAGAGGAGGGGGGGGTGTCATCCCAGTTGTAGATTTAGCCCAGTGAACAGGCAGCTTCCCTGCGCTGCTCTGCCTGAGGAGACCATCTCTGTATTACACATCACTGCACCCTATACTGTACCAACCTGATCACTGCATTGTACCCTCCGTACCCCCCTGTACTGTGCCCTCCGTACCCCCCTGTACTGTGCCCTCCATACCCCCCTGTACTGTGCCCTCCATACCCCCCTGTACTGTGCCCTCCATACCCCCCTGTACTGTGTCCACCGTACCCCCTGTACTGTGCCCTCCATACCCCCCTGTACTGTGCCCTCCATACCCCCCTGTACTGTGCCCTCCATACCCCCCTGTACTGTGTCCACCGTACCCCCCTGTACTGTGTCCTCCGTACCCCCCTGTACTGTATGCCCTCCGTACCCCCCTACACTGTGCCCTCCGTACCCCCCTGTACTGTGCCCTCCGTACCCCCCTGTACTGTGCCCTCCGTACCCCCCTATACTGTGCCCTCCGTACCCCCCTATACTGTGCCCTCCTACCCACTACTACTGTGCCCTCCTGTACCCCCCTGTACTGTGCCCTCCTGTACCCCCCTGTACTGTGCCCTCCGTACCCCCCTATACTGTGCCCTCCGTACCCCCCTGTACTGTGCCCTCTGTACCCCCCCTGTACTGTGCCCTCCTGTACCCCCCTGTACTGTGCCCTCCTGACCCCCCTGTACTGTGCCCTCTGTACCCCCCTATACTGTGCCCTCCGTACCCCCCTGTACTGTGCCCTCCTGACCCCCCTGTACTGTGCCCTCCGTACCCCCTGTACTGTGCCCTCCTGACCCCCCTTTACTGTGCCCTCCGTACCCCCCTGTACTGTGCCCTCCGACCCCCCTACACTGTGCCCTCCGTACCCCCCTGTACTGTGCCCTCTGTACCCCCCTATACTGTGCCCTCCTGTACCCCCTCTATATTGTACCCCTCCATGACCCCCCCTGTACTGTGCCCTCCTGTACCCCCTGTACTGTACCCTCCTGTACCCCCCTATACTGTGCTCTCTGCCTCCCCCTGTACTGTGCCCTCCTGTACTCCCCACTGTACTGTGCCCTCCTGACCCCCCTGTACTGTGCCCTCCTGCCCCCCTGTACTGTACCCTCCTACCCCCCCGTACTGTGCCCTCCCCCCCCCCCCCCGTACTGTGCCCTCCTGTCCCCCCCTGTACTGTGCCCTCCTGACTCCCCCCTGTACTGTGCCCTCCTGCCCCCCCTGTATTGTGCCCTCCTGCTCCCCCGTATTGTATCCTCCCCTCCCCCCCCTGTACTGTACCCCTCCTGACCCCCCTGTACTGTGCCCTCCGTACCTGCCCCTTCTGTACTGAGCCCTCCTGACTCCCCCTGTATTGTATCCTCCTGCCCCCCCCCCCCCTGTACTGTATCCTCTTGCCTCCCCCTATACTGTGCCCTCCTGCCCCCCTATACTGTACCCTCCTGACCCCCCTGTACTGTGCCCTCCTGACCCCCCTGTACTGTGCCCTCCTGATCCCCCCTATACTGTACCCTCCTGACTCCCCCCTGTACTGTACCCTCCTGACTCCCCCCTGTACTGTACCCTCCTGACTCCCCCCTGTACTGTACCCTCCTGACTCCCCCCTGTACTGTATCCTGCCCCCTCTGTATTGTACCCTCCTGCCCCCCCCGTATTGTACCCTCCTGCCCCCCCCCCCCTATACTGTACCCTCCTGCCCCCTCTGCCCTTCTGATGCCCTCTCCTCTGCTCTGTGACTTTTTTGTATTGTTGGGATATTTGTGTTGATTCGTCTGATTTATGGAACGTTTTCTTATTGTTTATTTTATTGTCTAATTTTATCAATTCTTTATACTTTCCTCCTTGAGAGTAGGTTGGGGCAGGCTGGTAGGGGCCCCAGTGCATATGTCCCGGGGGGTGACTGTGTCCCGGAGGCTGGGACTGATATGGAGGTTTACCCTGAATTTTGGAAGATTTGATGTGGTTTCTTGTGTCTGTGGGACGGGAAGTGGAGGGAAATGACCCAACAGGAATGGTATGGAAGCATCTCCAGCATCTGAACAGCCGGTGTTGGGTGGACCAACCCTATAAATGCAGCAGATGATGGAGAATTTGTGATTTTTGGTGCGGTCCTGCGGGGAGCACGTTCCCTCCTGCGGTGCCAGATGTGTGAAGATGAGAGCCGGATCTATAATTAGTCGTATGATTTATAAAGTGCCCGCCTGTCATCTGGGCTCCTAATTGCAGCGGGGCGCAGTAGGAGTTCACTTCCCATCAGATGAAGCCGACTCCGGAGATTTCCATGAAAGAGCCGCGTATAGCGCACATCATATAGCGCCAGCCTCATTAATATGCAAATGATTGTTTTTGTTTGTTGAACACCAGAGTGAGTAATTCTTAATCTGCATACAGAGAATTAGCGAGGAAGAGCTTTCATTTTGGGACGAAAAGCCGGCTAATTAATTTTGGTTTTCTGCTCTGCAAAATTAATAAAGCGTTTTGGGAAAACGCAACTCCTCCATCAGAATTCCTGAAGGCAATGATCGGCGCGGGACGTTCCGCCACAGCTGATGTGCTCACACACCGGCTCATTAGGCCGCTGCGCAATTTAGCTCCATGCCATAGACTCCTATGGAGATGCCAGCGGGGGGGGGGGGGGGGAGGGACACACAGGTGACACTGCCGCTTGGCGGAAAGTCAAGTGTGGCCTGCTGTTGCTGCAGCGGGTGTGCAGAGCTGAGATCCTCGGGGGAGGGGGGACTCCAGGGAAACTACGGGGGGTGATTGGACCCTGCTGGAGCCTCCAGATGCCGAATCATTGCTGTTGGGCTGAGATCTGACATTGAAATATCCCTGTAATTGGCTCAAATGTTTCCAGATTGTGGGGAGAAACTGTAAAGACGAGCTCTGGAGGTGCCTGGGGTCTTTTTATATGGCATTGAAACGTGAGCAGCTGACTTATGCTGAAGTCAAGCTTAGGCCCCACCCCCTTCTGCTTGCTGTCATTTATTACTGGTCGTTTCTGTAATAGGTAGCCTCACTAACCAATAGCAGGGTCTGGGTCAGAACTTGACTTTCTGAGCAGAGGTTGGTGTCTGCTGGACTGAATATCCTGAGGTTTGGGGACTGAAAAAGTACAAACAATGCTGGGCCTGGGCTCGCAAAAATCATTTAGTTGTCATTGGGTGTCATCAGTGGCAGCCTGGGCTCACAGGAAGGGTTTGGTTGGCATTGGGTGTCATCAGTAGCAGCCTTGGCTCATAGGAAGGATTTGGTTGGCATTGGGTGTCATAAGTGGCAGCCTGGGCTCACAGGAAGGATTTGGTTGGCAGTGGGTGTCATCAGTGGCAGCCTGGGCTCACTGGAAGGGTTGGGTTGGTCTTGGGTGTCATCAGTAGCAGCCTAGGCTCATAGGAAGGGTTTGATTGGTTGTGGGTGTCATCAGTGGCAGCTTTGGCTCATAGGAAGGGTTTGGTTGGCATTGGGTGTCATAAGTGGCAGCCTTGGCTCACTGGAAGGGTTTGGTTGGCATTGGGTGTTATCAGTGGCAGCCTGGGCTCACTGGAAGGGTTGGGTTGGTCTTGTGTGTCATCAGTGGCAGCCTAGGCTCACTGGAAGGGTTGGGTTGGTCTTGGGTGTCATCAGTAGCAGCCTAGGCTCATAGGAAGGGTTTGATTGGTTGTGGGTGTCATCAGTGGCAGCCTGGGCTCACTGGAAGGGTTGGGTTGGTCTTGGGTGTCATCAGTAGCAGCCTAGGCTGATAGGAAGGGTTTGATTGGTTGTGGGTGTCATCAGTGGCAGCAGCCTGGGCTCACTGGAAGGGTTGGGTTGGTCTTGGGTGTCATCAGTGGCAGCCCAGGCTCATAGGAAGGGTTTGATTGGTTGTGGGTGTCATCAGTGGCAGCCTGGGCTCACTGGAAGGGTTGGTTGGTCTTGGGTGTCATCAGTAGCAGCCTAGGCTCATAGGAAGGGTTTGATTGGTTGTGGGTGTCATCAGTGGCAGCTTTGGCTCATAGGAAGG